CTCGCAGGAGCAAAAAGTGGCTCTAGATACGTTACCTGCATCAAACTATCCAAAAATCGCCATTGACCAGCATGAAGTACAGAGACTGTTGGCATTCTGAGACCAAATGGCATTTCTGGGTTTCTGCCAATTCTGATTGGCTGCTCCCACCTGTAAGAGTAGAAGGAGAAGAGGCCGCCTCCCATCCTGGCTCCGCCCCCGTAGGCTCCGCCCTTCTCTCGGATCTCCCCGTGGAGGTACTTGGCCGTCATCATCCTCGCGAGGATACACAGACTGAGGGAGGAAGGGAGAGAGAGAGACGTTCAAAATGAGATGTACGCCTACAAAGTTAATGTTATTGAATGTTAATCCGTCTGTCTTTTGACTTAATCTTGTATATTTCAGTACACATTTTTTCTAATATCTGGACCCCTGCTGTGGTTGGTTGACCCTATTTATTTGATTTCCATTTTTAGTTTCATATTGCTGAAGCTCAGTCTGAAGTTGGTAGAAGAACTGCACCGACTTCACGTGGATTTAATTTACCAAACTGAAAATGCCGCCCTGGTCACACTGTAAATAACAACGAAAGCGTTGGTCCTTGTCTCTACCTGGCGTAGTCTGCGTGCGTGAACGGCACGGTGCGGATGCTTTCGCCGACAAAGTTGACCGGGAAGGGCATGGCGTAGAAGGTCTTCATCTGGCACGGCTGGAACCCTACTTCCTGCATGACAGGAAACACAAACGGCCAACTTCCTGTTAGTGAAAATGAAACTGAACTAAGCTGAATACTTCGAACCAGAGCAGTCTTTATTTGTTGTAGAAAAATGTCTTCACTCAGAGTAAGGGACCGAAAAAAAGTATTGATTTGGTATTGGATCTGAAAACCAGGTACTCACCGAGACCAGCTTCCTGCTGACATCAGAGTCCACCGGTCTCTGAACAGAGAGGGACAGACGTTATATTAACTCATGTTTTGCCTGGGCATGCAATGTTGGGTCTGGGGGTCCCTACCTCTGCCATGATGGTCTGGGGGTCCCTACCTCTACCATAATGGTCTGGGGGTCCCTACCTCTACCATGATGGTCTGGGGGTCCCTATCTCTACCATGTTGGGTCTGGTGATCCCTACCTCTACGATGTTAGGTCTGGTGGTCCCTACCTCTACCATGATGGTCTGGGGGTCCCTACCTCTACGATGTTTGGTCTGGTGGTCCCCTACCTCTACGATGTTGGGTCTGGTGGTCCCTACCTCTACGATGTTGGGTCTGGTGGTCTGGTGTGAGCGTCTGTTGCCTGCCACCTCCTTCATGAACGACTCCAACTGCCCGGCCGCGGCGGACATCTTGTGGGGCGTCGCGTTCACCGCACACCTGCCGCAAACATTTAAATAAAATAATGTTCTGTTCTTCTCGTACTTTATAACTGTAAAAATATAACGGACAACATTTATATACGTTTAGCATAATTGGATGATAATGTAAACCTCCTGTTGTGATGAGGATGCGTTTGAGGCTCACCTCATGTTGTCAGGGTTGAGGATGTGTTTCTTGATCCGAGGCAGGGAGCGGAGAACCGGGCTCAGGTCGGACATCTCCGCTATCCTCTTCATGAACTTCACCTGGTTGTCACGACAACGCAGACCCAACAGTAAGTTGTGTGTTCACCAGGGCATCAGAATAAAAACTCAAAATCTCCCGATTCAATATTACCACCATACTTAGTTTATCATGATACTTAACACTAGACCAACACTAGGGAATCCTGCTCTTCTTAAGTGGATGTTTTTGTCCTCCCACCCCTGATACCCACTGTGTGTGCGCCGCCTCACCTGCTCCATTCCTCCAAACGTCTCCTGAACGCCCCCGGCCGGGGTCAGGCACCGCCCCGCCCGCGTCATTGCGTACATGTGCCCCGAGCTGGAGATCCCATTGGCCAGCTCCTGCGCTGACATCATCACGAGCACCCGCAGCCGTTCCTCGTCGTCGAAGTGAGGGCTGGAGGGGAGGCACAGGGTTAGCTTAGCAGGGTTAGCTCGTCTCAGACGAACCTAACCGTCCCTGGAAGGAGGGATCCCCTCTTCTGTGTTCCTTCTCCAGGTTCCTTCCCTCTGGGTTGGGGGTTGGGGGGGGGGGGGGGTGTTGTATAATGTGGCATGTGAAGCCCTTTGAGACTGGAACTGGGATTCACAGATATAGTAATACATTTAATCTGTTAAAGCCCAATATTGGTACTCCAACACTTATAAATACAAAGAGTTGCATATCACCTGTTGAAGATGTCCCTCCACAGGCCGAACATGTCGGGAACGTTGCGCTCCAGACAGGAAGAGAAGAGCAGGACGCCCTGGAAGAGAAAGCTAGCGGTTATAACCTCGCCTTCTGTGTTCAGGGTTAGCGTTAACAGTTGGCTAACGCTAGCGTCTCTGTCATGTTTTCTATTGAACCTTGAGGACTGACACGACCCCAGGTATTGGCTAGGGTGGGTCATACAGAAATAATCCTTTTGTACAATAAAATGTTTGTTCACGATGGATATGATATTGTCCATTTCAGAACTCAGACGAATGACAAACTTTTAATAGTTCATTAATGTCGATACATGGAAATCAGGGGTTAGGGGGCATCTTTCTCCAGGATCCCTTCAGGTAGACTGGGGTTTAAACCCCGAACCTTTGGGCTGTCCAGGCGAGACTCACCTGTTCGTACATGTCCAGGTTGGTGGAGTCAGGGACCACCATGGGGCAGACCGACATCCCACCCGTCTTCAGCTCCATCTGCTGGGCCTGCTGCCGATAGTCCAGAGACCCACAACCCAGCCTAGAGAGAGAGAGAGAATAATGATACGGTCCCTAACTTCGAACCGTTTTCCCCAGAGTTAGTCATTTAGCGACGACCCCTAGAACCCCCCCCCAGAGAGACAGGGACTCACTGGGTGACCACGCTGCAGAACAGAGGAACGTAGAGCTTGAGCTCCTCCGGCAGCGTGTTCAGACTACACATGGCTCGGAAATACAGCATCCCATTGGTCGGCTGCTCACAGTACTGCACCGCCACGCCCCCTGGGGGGAGAGAGAGAGAGAGAGAGCTTTAATACATACTCAGGGAGAGAGAGAGAGATTTAAGCTGCAGGAGCCACTAGTATTGTACCTACGGTGCCAATTACCGGACCTGCGGTGCCACTAGTACCGTACCTGCGGTGCCTGTCTCCACCGGCGTGGTGGGGGAGGTGCGCTCGATGTCGGACACCTGGAGGGCCGGCAGGCAGGAGGCGTCCTGGACTTTACTCTGAGTTGCCAGCAGGTCCAGACCTGAGAAACATCTGCTGTTATCAGGACAGGACAGTCTAGTGGGGTGTTACCTGCTCCTTAATGACCTGCTCCTTAATGACCTGTCTCTGTACTGTCTAACCACTACCTGCTCCTTAATGACCTGTCTCTGTACTGTCTAACCCCTACCTGCTCCTTAATGACCTGTCTCTGTACTGTCTAACCCCTACCTGCTCCTTAATGACATGTATCTGAATTCACTGTAAGTCGCTTTTGATGAAAGCATCTGCTAAGTGACTAACTAGTAGAGTTACAACAGTCTGGTTGTACCAGAGGTGGCGCTGTTGCTAAGGTTTGAGACTAGCATGTGTCCTCTGTTGAGTCCAACACATTACATACAAACCTTTCCAGTTAGTTGGCCTCTTCTAATCTCAATCATTCATCCCTCCCCCACGTCCCACCAGGAAATGCCATGGCTATATCGTCCACTGGTCTACACTTGCTGTGTTGTCTGCACTAGCGGTCTGTTACTAGGGGTGAGTGTCGCTTAAAGAGAGACTGAGGGCCGACTGGGGCGGGGGGCGTAGTCTGACCTTTGTCGTAGATCTCCTTGCGGTCGCTGTCGGACAGCGCTTGCGTCTTCCTGCGGAGCTTCTCCTCCTCCGCCAGCGCCTGCTTCTCCCGGTACGCCTCATCTGGACTCATGGACAGGGTCAGTCTGTGGGGGTTGTCCTGGAGACGGTAGCATGATGGACACATGAACATGTGAACCTCCTCAACTAGTCCATCGTACATGAACCAGAAAGCGTAGCAGTTAAGACGAGGTCGGCATGACCCACAGCAACGCCGCTGTGGGCTACACAGGGGATGTATAGAGTGTGTGTGTGTGCGTTCTGACCTGGAAGTAGTGTTTGACCTTGTCCTGGAGGAAGCGGGGGTTGTCTTGGTAACAGCGTCTGAACTTGGAGACGAACTCTCCGATCTGGAGCAGCTCCACGGGGTCTCCATCGTGGTTCCAGCACGACGCCATGTACTACACACACACACACACACACACACACACACACACACACACACACACACACACACACACACACACACACACACACACACACACACACACAATACTATTCAAAACATTAAATAAATAATAATCAATTATTGGCCGGCCCGACATCACAGACGTCCATATTGTTGGATGTCTGTCCATGATTAAACCGCACATAAAAACACAAATCTCAATTTGTTTGGAATCCATCATCTTGTGAACCTGGTGGCAGACAGGGTCAGGGGGCGCTAGTTAGCAGGGGTCAGGGGTCAGGGGGCGCTAGTGAGCAGGGGTCAGGGGGCGCTAGTGAGCATGGGTCAGGGGGTGCTAGTGGTCAGGGGTCAGGGGGCGCTAGTGAGCAGGGGTCGGCGGTCGCGTGGACGTACCGAGGCCAGGGAGAGTCCGAAGCTGGTGGATTGATGTTTCATCTGGATCTCTATCTTATGGAGCAGAGCCTCAATACGCTCCTCCTCGAAGCCAGTCCTGAGGGAGGGAGAGGGGGAGAGGGAGAGAGAGGAAGAGAGAGAGTTCATCTTCAAACTCTAGCTGTTACATGGCGTTGTTCTTCTCCCTGTCGTTTTCCCATTGTGTTCTGTAATTTAGTATTTTAGCAGACAAAGTGACTCACAGTGAATCCAGTTACATGCCATGAAGGAGCAGGTAGGGGTTTAGGGGGCATCTTGCTCTAGGACGCATAAAGATAGACTGGGGACATTGGGGATCGAACCCAGAACCTTTCGACTGGGAGTCGAACACCCTGACACCTACACTATCCTGCTGTGTCTGCTTGGTGATGCGTTGGGTACGGCGGTTCCTCCCGGGTCAGTGCTGGTACTCACGCGACGATCTCCTCGATGGTCTGGCTGATGATGCGTTTGACTCGCTCCATGTCCTCCTCTGCCGTCCCCTGCAGGCCGATGCTGAACGACGCGTCCCTGGTGCTGCCATCGTACCTACGCACACCACGCATGCTCATATTATATATATATATATATATATATATATATATATATATATATATATATATATATATATATATATACTGTATATACATACATCTGTATTTAGATCACATACTAATACACTCCACACATACACATAATGTTTACATGACATTGAGCATACATCAGTCATACACCTATCAGATGATATACTAACACACACACACACACACACACACACACACACACACACACACACACACACACACACACACACACACACACACACACACACACACACACACACACACACACACACACACACACACTTACATTCTTTATACTCACAACCCATATTCAATTCTATATACACACACCACCCATACGCACATCAAATAGCATTACAAACATCATAAACATTATAAACACAATCAACATATAGATATTCAGGTCGTATACTTTATACACACCATCAATACATATGCTATACACATTCACTGTCATACGTCTATCATACATCTATATACTGTACACATTCACTATGTCATACATCTATCATACATCTATATACTGTACACATTCACTATGTCATACATCTATCATACATCTATATACTATACACATTCACTATGTCATACATCTATCATACATCTATATACTGTACACATTCACTATGTCATACGTCCATCATCAGATTATATACTTTATGATATGCATCAAACTGCCAAGGATCTACCACCGCTCTCAGCTGAATCAGACCAAACCATTAGCATACCGGACCGCGATAGCTTCAGTCCACTTGTGACATCACTAATGTGTGCACCACCCACCCCACGACGGAGGAGAAGTCGCTCCCGATCTTGGGCTCCAGCAGAGATCTGTAGAACGGGGCGTTGGGTCCTGAGATCATCAGGGAGCAGAGGAGGTTCAGGGTGAACGCCTCAAACGTATCCGTGATGCTGGGCGGGGGGGGGACAGACGACATCACAGATGACATCACACAACTAAACCAAGCCCTTTATCCGTAGTCATTTGACTAGTAATCTCTGATCCAGAAGTTCGACGATGCTGTAGCCGAACTTCTGGGCGGAGACTGCGCGGCGCCTGGGCCGGGAAACCAGGAAGTGCGAGGGGCGGAGTTACGCAGTGTGCCCTGTTTTGTTACGGAGATATTCTTCCCAAGATAAACTCATTCACGAGTGCAAGATGGAGATTTCAGAAGACGATTTTAACAATATTTATTTCTACAGTGGCCAGTCTACTACACAGGTTGGACTTGAAACCTTTACAGACACTTTGTCTAAGGACGTTTTAGCTCGTCTTGCCACCGGCTACGGGAACATTTTAGTTTACCAGTGCTGGCCGGGTTTGCGGTCGCTGTTGGCCAAGGAGGGATACGGACAATGGGAAGACGATGCTTTCGTTTTAGTTATCAGTTCGCTTCTGGATCCGGGGTTAATGGTCATTCAGGTTGTTTCCAGTAGAGACCCTTTCGCACGTCTACTGATCCCCCAGCAACATGATTGGTCGATGTAAATTTGAAGCGACAGAAAATGAAACGCCCCGTTCACCCAGATTTGAGCTCGTCTGCCAACAGACTTAAATGTGCGTGTGGTGCATGTAGTACGTACTCCCCCAGCAGGTAGCTCACACACACAGTGTTCTGCTTGGCCGGGTCGGGGGCCATGGCGTCTGGACCACAGCTCACATGGTCCTCTCTCTGGGGGGGGTGGGGGTGGGGGGGGGGACCAATCAGAGAGGAGAACGTACAATGACATCACTGACTCTTGAATGTGAGACGGCTCCTTGTGTGTGCTGGGATTGTTTGTGGGTACGTTGGTATTCATTTATTTGTGTGTGTTAGGATTGTTTGGTTTTCTGTGTGTTCATTTTAATGTAATTAAATATAATAGTATAATATACTTATGTTTTAGGGCTATTACTTGAGTGTAATTTGTTGGAAATGCCACAGCCATCCATCAGCTATTAATGAGTGAAATGCTCTGTGAGAATATGTCTCTAGTTGACTGCGCCTGCCTCTGTATGAGACCATTTACATTTTACTAGACGGCTCATTTCTGACCAATCAGGGCATCTCTTCCCTGATTGGTTTAGGGAATTGACCTTGCTGCCAATCACATGCGGGAGACGTGGGTGTGTGGTGGTGGTGGTGTACCGGGCTGGTCCAGGTGGGCTGGGGGGGGACGTGTGTGTCTGGTTCTGTGCGGTCGAAGCGGGACAGCGCATCCTTCTGGATCTGCTCCAAGTGCTGCTCTAGTGGCAGGTCTCCGTACGTAAAGAACCTGCAGATAGACAGACTGGCATCACTACAGGGCTACGGTGTAGGTGTTGCTAGGGTGGTAGTGTGTATTACTGTTTACCTGCTGTTGCTAGGGTGTTCGTGTGTGTGTGTGTGTGTGTGTACCTGGCGTTGCTAGGGTGGTAGTGCAGGTGTGCCTGGCGTTGCTAGGGTAGTAGTGCACCTGGCGTTGCTAGGATGGTAGTGCAGGTGTACCTAGCGTTGCTAGGGTGGTAGTGCAGGTGTACCTGGCGTTGCTAGGGTGGTAGTGCAGGTGTACCTGGCGTTGCTAGGGTGGTAGTGCGTAGCGTGGAAGTGTCGGAGCTCCTCCCAGGTGAGGTCAGGGATGTTGAGCGGTTCTCCTCCAGACACCACAGAGTAGGTGTGGTCTGGGAACAGCTTGTTCTGCAGCTGCTGGCCGTACACACTCTCGTTGTCTGACTGCACGCACACACACACGCATGGGATTTAACTTTATTAATTTACTATATAATACACATTACATGGCTTCGTTGAATACTCGATTCTGATTGGTCAATTACGGCATTCTACGGTCTGTTATTTCTGAATAACAGACCGTTGCTATGGACGCTGTTTCCAACCGTAGTATCCAACATTTTTTTAGCAGGAGGAAGAGGAGAGGTGACTTACGAAGGCTCCCTTCATCTCGTTGAAGACCACTCCCTTAAAAACCAGAGGAGAGCTGGGGTCCTGAGGGTCCTCATTCTCCAACCGCCACCCCTCCTGTCTGGAAAACAAACACAATTTTAAAAAAGCGCTTTGTTGTGTTTGGAAATTGGATTCTATAATAGTCGTGAGATTCGGTACCCATCCGCATCAAAGGAAAAACCCACTGACCTGAAGTCCTGCTCGCGGAGGCAGGGGAAGAACACCGCGTCCAAGTAGATGGACAGAAGGTTCTGGAAGTCCTTGGAGTTTTGGGTGGAGAACGGATACATGGTGTAGTCACTGGCTGCCCAACCGAGAGGAGAAAAGAACAATGACCACAATGCAACAGGGGGAGCGAAGAGAAGAAAACAACGATGACCACAATGCAACAGGGAACTACAAAATGGAGTTGATCTAGGTGCTCTATTTCTATAATCTAATATATTTCTATTCACGATTTAGTCATTTAGCAGACGCTTTTCACTCCAAAGCGACTTCCAGTCTTTTTTTCCAGACACGTGTACATACAGGTAGGGGTTAGGGGGCATCTTGCGCTAGGATGCCTACAGTTTAAGCTGTGGACGTTGGGGATCGAACCCAGAACCTTTCGGCTGGGAGTCAAACACCCTGACCAGTGACCACTACACTATCCTGAATCTCTAGACGACTAGATCAGTCCACCAGCCTACCCAGTGGACCGTACCAACTGGTAGGCAGATCTATCCATCACACATCTGGGTGGACACTCCCACTTGTGATGTCACTAGGGAGTAGTCACATGACAATTTAGAAACGGCCTGTAATGGCGAATCACACTGACACCTGGTGGTAAAACAGGGGCCCAATAAGACTAAAGCTGTGGAGGTGAAAGGCGTTGTACCGGTGAAGGCGTTCATGAAGGTGGAGAGCGAGCGGTTGAGCATCTTGAAGAAGGGGTCCCGGCAGGGGAAGCGCTCCGAGCCGCACAACACCGTGTGCTCCAGGATGTGAGGGACGCCGGTGCTGTCCCGCGGCGTGGTCCGCAACTGGACGCTGCGGGGGGGGGGGGGGGGGGAAACAAACGCACCCATAATGCTCCTTTAGAAACTCGTGGTAGAAGGTCCCAGAGGAAGCTGTGCTTGTGTCTGTTGTTTAGGGTCAGGATACAGTGTGTAGTGACGGGGTTATGAGTGTGTAGTGATGGGGTTAGGGTACAGTGTGTAGTGACAGGGTGAGGGTACAGTGTGTAGTGACGGGGTTATGAGTGTGTAGTGATGGGGTCAGGATACAGTGTGTAGTGACGGGGTTATGAGTGTGTAGTGACGGGGTTAGGGTAAAATGTGTGTCTAGAGGGTTATGGTACAGTGTGTAGTAACGGGGTTATGAGTGTGTAGTGATGGGGTTAGGGTACAGTGTGTAGTGATGGGGTTAGGGTACAGTATGTAGTGACAGGTTTATGAGTGTGTAGTGAGTGGGTGAGGGTACAGTGTGTGTCTAGAGAGTGAGGGTACAGTGTGTAGTGAGTGGGTGAGGGTACAGTGTGTGGTGAGTGGGTGAGGGTACAGTGTGTGGTGACGGGGTTATGAGTGTGTAGTGACGGGGTTATGGTACAGTGTGTAGTGACGGGGTTAGGGTACAGTGTGTAGTGACGGGGTTATGGTACAGTGTGTAGTGACGGGGTTATGGTACAGTGTGTAGTGACGGGGTTATGGTACAGTGTGTGGTGACGGGGTTAGGGTACAGTGTGTAGTGACGGGGTTAGGGTACAGTGTGTAGTGACGGGGTTAGGGTACAGTGTGTAGTGACGGGGTTATGGTACAGTGTGTGGTGACGGGGTTAGGGTACAGTGTGTAGTGACGGGGTTAGGGTACAGTGTGTAGTGACGGG